CAGTTTGACCCTGTTCCCTTCTATGGAATTCATTTTATCTCTCCATCTCCTTTACGTCCATCACACACGTGCCTACAGGCAGAAGCTAATAAGGGTCTACCTAAGTTTGTTGTTGCTGTTGGTGGTGGTGGTAGTGTTTTGGTTTTTAGAGACAGGGTTTCACTATGTACCCCTGTCTGCCTGGAACTTGCTCTGTATACCAGACTAGCCTCGAACTCAGAGAGATCCACCTGCCTCTGCCTCCCAAGTGTTGGGATTAAAGGTGTGTGCCACCACTGCCCAGCTACATAAATATTTTTCAATCCAACCTTTTCTTCCTATCTCTACTGTGACTCTATTAGTTCAGTGCCTTGTAATCTCTTCTGAAAAACAGATTCATACCACATTTTCCTATATTTAATAGTCTTCTAATTAAACAATGCTTCCAAAATAGCCTAAGAAGCAAGTCTTAAGACCTTATATCTCCCTGTGATCTACAGAATGTCTCTTTCCCCCTGTAACATAAAGCATATATATAGTGTATGCATATAAAATATTCACATATATTTATAAAATATGCATTGTGATATATGCATCTTTGTATACTATATATAACTTAAGCCATGGTCTTGCTTGTTTCTGAAACTTAGCCTCACATTCCTTATCCTGGAAACACTGAAGCACTTGTAATTCTCAGCACGTGCCCATGCTTTGCTGATGTCATTGGCTCTCTATGAATTGCCTTCCTCGACAAAGGGCTACCCTTTCCTTAGCTAAGCTCCGTTTGGCTCAGTCCAGGTGTGAGCCCTTGATGACGTGTTTCTTCCCTTGAAATCCAAGATAGAGTTGGCATTATGGGTATTTGACTACTGTTAGTTTTCTTTCTGTTTCTGTGATAGACAAAAGCAAGTTCAAGAGGAAAGGATTTACTTCAGCTTACAGTTTACTGTCCATCCATCACTGAAGAAATCCAAGGGAGGAAGTCAAGCAAAGTGCTTGAAATAGGAAACACCAGAGGAAGGCTTTTTACTGAGTTTACTCCCTGGCTTGCTCAGCGATCTTTCTTAAACAAGTCAGGTCCTTTTGCCCAGGTATCGCATTGCTCACAGTGGACTTGGCCTTTCTACATTAATTAACAATTAAGGTAATGCCACACAGCTATGCCCAGAGATCTGGCTAATGGTGGTAATTGTTCAGTTGAAGTTTCCTCTTCTGTGTCTGTAAAGTTCAAAACCATGCTCACATTTCGCTGACAACTTGTTTAACTTTCGGGTTCATCAATCCCTCATCACACGACTTTAATCCTTTTATTTACAGCATCATTTAGGATAGATAAATTCTTAGTTTCTTGCTCTCTATAGATGCCAAAATTAAAATTCATGTCATCCAAACCTTTAAACCTAAAATTCACAGTATGTTTTCCTATTTTAGGACACTATCCTTTAAATGAATGCATATGCACATACACAAACATACATGCACATTTATAATGCTCATTAAGTCCATTTTAGATATGTATTCTTGAGCCTTGAATTTGAATGCTGGGTTGATAATTTAAATATTTGGCAAAACAACAGTATGAACAATATTGCCTCAATCTGACTATTTCTTCTGTTATTTTTTTCTTGATTGAGAAAGAACCTCAGAATGTGTTTCTCTTTATATGTAGATCCTCATGACTCCTTTTCACTTATTTCTGGTGTCTTAGGAAGTGGGGTCTTGTGATCAGACTTCTGTAACTCTGTTCTGTCTGCAGTGACTGATCTTTCGGACACTTTCTGTGTACAGAATGCAATCCGATTCTTTTCTGTTGCTGACTTGCAGCCAAGCCTTTCAGGGTTGTGATGACTTCCACGGGGTCAGAATTTATCAGTATAAACTACATCACCTGTGCTTGTAATACATTTTTTGACTAGAAATACAGTCAGCAGTTTGATTCTAGTTTATCCAAAATTACCACCAGCCCTCTCACCACACATGAAAAATTTCTCTATGAAAATTATTTGCATTGCATAATATAACTATAAAAATGTGAAGACTTAACAAACATTTAAATTCTTTATATGGTTTATGAAAATCTACCTTAAAAATTAAAAGAAAATTGTAATTTAAATAAAGGTGGACTAAGGTATAGATTACCAAATTTATATCTAACTCTTATTTGCAGCTTTCATACTAAGAAATTATATTTAAATATTATTACATGCTAAAAGCAACAGCACCAACCTATCACTGAAACAATTAATGAGGAAGATAATATTTTATGATTTCTTTTCTTTTGTGTGGTTTTTTTGCAGCTGAAAAAAATGTTTAAGGTCTACATAGTTTCCAGAAATGAACAGCAGAGGGCAGAAAATAGCAACTTGGTCCTTGGAGCTTACTGTTCTATTTAACTTTCTTGTAATATTTAAAATTGATTTTAATATTGATAAGTTTAAGATAAGTATTCAAAACCATGAAGCTTTGTGACTTTAAAGGGGGATCTTAGAATATGAAAATGAAACATCAGTATTTTTCCATTTATATATATAACTGTTTATTCCATTCGGTTTAACTTCATTGTACTATTAGCATTCTGTGGTGAAAAGCAATATTTACTACCTAATGTGCTGTAGGAAAAGCTTCATGGAAGATCATTTAAATGTAATTATGCTGTATTTTAGTAGGAAATGTTTGTAGGCATGTGAAGGTCAGCTGTTTACCTAAATTATGAACACAGATTACTAGACTATATATTGAATTACAAAAATTGCCTGAAAAATTTTAATAGATCTTATTATCAATTACAACTTATTACCAGAACGTAATATTTGCTACAGTTGTGCATATTCCCTGGGGAGGATGTACTATGATTCAGCAAATTCATGATATAGAATATAATCCAGTCAATTTTGAGTTCCTATCTGCCCTTGAGTTTCAAAGAAGTTAAGATAAAAGCAGTTTTTGAAAAGCCTTTTCTTTTTAATTTTAATTTGCTTCAGAGACACGTTATGTATTGCAATTTCCCTCCCATACTTCAGCTGTGTTCCCGTTATTTCCAACTCCCATTCCAAAGCACTTTGGAGAAGACTCAAGATGCTTTGGTGGAAAATATTGGATGGCAAAAAAAAGAAGAATGTGGCTGAAGAGATACTTTATTTGCTCTATCTCTTGACCTGTTCTTCTAGTTTATAAACTTCAAACTACTCCTGTGTTTGGCTTTGGAAGTAGAAATGAAAGCGAGTATGAAATTTTATTTTTCTTTATGTAACAAGTTGGGATATTTATAATTCTTATTCTGCCTACAATTTTCTTCTCATTAACTTTCTCTTATGCTTCGTCTCTTTTTATTCAGATTATTGACTTAATATTTTTATGGAGATTTTATTCACATGTGAAATAAATTATTTGTTACAGAAAGAAGGTATTTTCACCTATTATATGTAAGCTCAGTAAATTACATATATGTTCTGCACTTTTGTCTTAGGAACACACACACACAGAGGGAGAGAGAGAGAGAGAGAGACAGACAGAGACGAAGACATAGACAGAGTGAGAGCAAAACACAGAGAGAGGGAGAGATCATAATGAAATCACAGGGTTTAAAGGCCACAGGGATTACTGTGCTTCTTGCTTTCATTCATCCCTTCTCATTTTCAGTCTGGAGGTGTGTTTTTTATTAAAAACATATTTTAATAAATGGAGAATTTGAGGTCCAGTGTGATTAAGGGAAAAGTATGCATTAATGTGGTTAAAAGGGATGCCACCGTGAGTGATATTAAAGTCATGTTTTGTCTACAAGATCTAACCAGGAAGCACTCTCATGCACTTTGGACCATCAGTGGACTCTTCCTCCGATGTTGTCGGCTGCAGTCTCCTGGCTCCTGGCAACAGTATTTTCGAACTGAGTCTTTACTTCTCTATGTAAAACAGAGAACATATAATTTGTTGAATTCCCGAGGCAGCGGGTACATGGAGATGGCTTGGCACACAGTAGGATGCTGAACATGAATTTCACAGGCATATACAATCTCCAGTACTCTCTACCGATCTCCTTCCCACAAACTTTAATTTCTAGCCTGTTCTTTGTTTCCCAGAGGCTCAAGCGGGCTTGCTGTAGTGAAGTAACCTCTTTTCATGATGCAATGCTTATCTTTTTAACTTAAACCCAAAACGTGATGGGGTATCCTTTGTGGAACTAAGTGTCTGGAAAGGTTTTGCAGCCTTGCAGTCTTTCTAGACTAGCTTTGTCTATTTTTTCCCTTCCCAGGAAACTACGATTCCTTTCAATCCATATAAAGAAAGGACATCTAAGAGCCAAGTCTACATGACCCTACAGTAGGAGGGAGTCGGCACTGAAGTACAAGAGCAATCCACAGGCAGTGTGGCTTAAACAAATCATACCACAACCGAAAAGGATATACTCTAAAGATATGTTTCCACACATAGTCCTTTAAAGATTCAATCCAGATACATTTTTTTTCATCTTTTGTAGTTAAGGATAGAAATTGGGGTTTCCCCAGGATTATGTCCACATCATATAAAGCTAAAGTTCACAATTTTGGCAATCTTCTCTTAGGGGAGTATTTCCTTTGCCTCTTAGCTGGATCAGGTAACGCAGAAGACAGCGTGTCGATATCGCTAAGTGGATTTTCAGGCGATCAAATCATAATCGTTTTGTTTAATGTAAAACAACAGGGCCCGACAGAAGAAAGCGCCACCGCCAACAGCAATTAGCAGTTCGGTTTCCTAGGCATAGCAACCGGAAATCAGTTTTGCAGCTTTTGGATCTGGCTGGAGCATCTCTGCAGCTACAGAAAGCCCTGCAACCTCAGCCCAGGGCGCAGACAGAAGCGCTGTCCTCGGTGCTAAAATTCAGATGTGCAAGACTGGAGGTCTCTAAGAGGCACCAGGCTGCCCGGTTTTGAGCCGCGCTTTCTCGGCACCTCGCAGGAGCTGCCAGGGCTGTGCGGGGTGCGGGGCATTGTGCGGGGGAGGGGTGGGTGCGCGATCCCGCCGCCTGCCACGAGTCGCGCACGCGCGCCGGGGACTGCCTGCTCCTCTCTGTGACTTTCCTGTGTGTGTGTGTGTGTGTGTGTATGTGTGCGCGCGTGTGAATGTGTGTGTATGTGTGCGCGCGCGCATGTGAGAGAGGAGAGGAGAGGAGAGCTCGAAAGAGGGTGATTGTGTGAGCGCATGGGAGGGTGCTGAATATTCCCAGACACCCGGGACCACAGCGGCAGCTCAGCTGAAAACTGCATTCAGCCAGTCCTCGGGACTTCAGGAGAGGGGACAGGACGCCAGGCATCAACCAACAGCCACCAGCAAGACCCAGGATATAAGGATTCTTCTGCCTCCACTTCGTGTTTTTAGCAGCTCCTTGCTAAATTTCGATCTCAAAATGCAGAGGATCTAATTTGTTGAGGAAAACGGCAAAAGAAGGAAAAGGAGGAAAAGGGAAAAGAGGGGGTATTTTGTGGATGCTCTACTTTTCTTGGAAATGCAAAAGATTATGCATATTTCTGTCCTCCTTTCTCCTGTTTTATGGGGACTGATTTTTGGTGTCTCTTCTAACAGCATACAGATAGGTAGGTACCTTTCGCCTCTGAATTGTGCATAATGTGTTGGTAATCTTTGTTCACAGTGGGCAAATTAATTCATGTCATGTAGACTTATGTCATACCTTGACTGCATTCCAGATTTAAACTACCTAGAATATACATGATTTTCTTAGGCTGAGGCAAAAAGAAATGATTATGCCTTTGGACACAATAGAGGGAAAGATCTGCTCATTTCTGACCCCCGGACTGCGTTACTTCTGCCTTGAAGGCGTCTTGTGGTGTGCTCAGATTTTGTGGGGAATACAAACTCAAAGCTTGCAATTAAGAAGGAGAATATTTCTGGCCCTCAGACTCTCCTCCGTGCCTAGGCGCGTTGAGAACACCTTTTGGATGTCCAACCCTTGCTGCCCAACTCAGTGATTGTGTTGATCCCAGCGGGTAGCGTGAATAAAAGGCTCTAGGGTTGCTGGGTGCTAGTGGCTCCAGTCTTATCTCTCCAGGGCTCTGACATGCTTCTTTTGCTTGCTGTTTATTCTTTGCAGGGGGGCTATTTCCAAGGGGCGCCGATCAAGAATACAGTGCATTTCGGGTAGGGATGGTTCAGTTTTCCACTTCGGAGTTCAGATTGACACCCCATATCGACAATTTGGAGGTAGCCAACAGTTTCGCAGTCACCAATGCTTGTAAGTAATGAATATTCATGTATTTCCAGTGCTGCACAGGGAAAGCAAGCTACTGAATGCCAGTGTGGGATGATGTGTGAGTGTGTGTGTGTGTGTGTGCCTGTGTGTGTATTGCTGGCATTCATGTGTGGGTGGGAGTGACTGTACACGCGCGTGCGTGTGAGGGTGCAGAAAGAAGGTGGCTGTAATCTTGGGGACCCCCACTGGCCGGCAGGCAGTGGAGAGGGGGGGGAAGGCACTGAACAGTGTACCAGTGTGCGCACTAAGAAGTTGGGGGGGGGGTTGGACTCCGACCGGTCTTTCTCGGGGTGGGGTGGGGGGTTCTTGCTTGATTCTGGAGCCTCCAAAGAGACTCTCCCACCCCTTCCCTCTTCTGCGCCTATTGGCATCCTACCAACAGAGAACACGTTGTTCCCCAGGGCGCGCTGTGGAACTGTTGGACAGATCCCACGGGGGGATTGCCTTAGTCCTGTAGCCTGGCAGGGCAGCTCCGACATGCAGTCTCCGTGAGCCCCACGTCCTTCTATTGCACGGGACAAGTTGTTACAATGGTTGTGGAGTTGGGACCGGGGCTGTTACATAATGCCCACCCGAGGGGCGCGGGCACGAGGCTGACGCAGGCCCTGACTGGTTGGTGTGAGCAGGAGGGGAAGGGATGCTACGCGGATAGGGACCCAGAAGAGATGAGGATGCAGGCAGTGGGGGATGAGGGTGGTGATGGATGTCTGCCAGCTTAGGGGATACAAACCACAACCAGGTCGCCAGCAGAATGGGGATGAGGAAGGTGAGAACCAGAAGCTAGGTCTGTTCTCAGCTCACTTCAGCTCCTGCTTAAATGGAGCCCAGGGTGGCCAGATCACTTGCTGGCCGCGCGTGCTTTGTTCCAGGTTTTCAGGCTCGGGCAAAGGCGACTGGAGAATGAGCATGACTCGGAAGCGATTGCATCCGGCTGAGTTTTAAAATCTGAAGAAGTCGCAGATCAGCCATTTTAGTCTTTGCAGTTCTCAGTATCAGCCCCTGTCCTCTGCGCAGGGCCCGGGAACTCGCGGGGATGCTCTGGCAAGGTTTCCGGGCAGAATGATCCGAGCCCAGTCGCCCGGCAAGTGCGAGGTCGCCCGAGGCCGGCGGCCGGGTTCCTGCACTGAGGCAGCATCCTGCATACTCCTAGCCGCCACCATTTCCGGCCTCCAGGCTGGCAGATGTTTCCTGCCTTGATGTTCTCAGCTTCCATTCCATAGATAACAATTTGGGGAAGATTTGCAGGTGGCTTACCTCCCACTTTAACTCCCATGTAACAGGACAGAGCGGAAAATCACCAGAGGAAATGCCCAAGTCCCACAGCCGGTTACCATCCCACCCACCTCCCCCTGAGAAACCTGTCATGTATTCTGACCTTTAGCTTTGTAACACGGGGACATGAGCAGGCCAGGTCGCAACTCCCATCCCTGGATAAGTGGAAATAAAATTAAATAAATAAATAAATAAATAAATAAATAAATAAATAGTAGCTTAGGGTAATGTGATTGTAGTCATTCACATGGCCAGAATTCTAGCTTTCCTGAAGGATCAACTTATAAAGATCTCCTAAAATGTTAATATTAAAGAAAGGCACATAGCAATAGAGACAGAAACGACGGAGAAATAGATCTTGAGATAGAAATGATAGAAGGATTTGCACATAGCAGGGACGCCAGGTAGCTCAGTGGATAAAAGCGTTTTGTATTTTTGTTTTGTTTTGTTTTCATTAAGCCTGAGAACCCGAGTTTACTCCCTGGGTACCTGACACCAGAGGAGACAACTGACACCTGAAAGTTGTCTTCTGACCTCCACACGCCACCTTCCAAATATATAAGTGAATATTAAAATGTAATAGAATGTCATAGAATAACACACAATGCAACACGTGTTATTACATAGCAATTACAAAGAAACTGTTTAAATAAATGTCAAAAGCGTCCATATTTGACCTGTGGATCTACTGAAGCAAGTTGTTCGTGTTTCTTGTGAGTTGCAGTTTGGCATGCCGCTGTGTTGAGCATTTTACCTGAAAGGGTATGTACATATACATGTACATTTAACTGAAAGGGTATGTACATATACAGAGTCACAATGCGTTCTATTGCAAAGTAGGTGTGTACATAGGTTCTGAGATACTGACAAGACATTGTGAAAATAGTTAATAATCAGGAAGCTGAATATTGGTAAAATAACGAGGCAAACTTACTGGGAAAATAACAGATACATCCACAAACTAAATTAGTGTTTCTCAATTCCAACAGGTGTTAAGCCACTCTACTGGGGTTCTTTAAGGGTCAGAGATTATATAGAGTTTGTGTGGTATGTATCCTCAAGTCTAATGTTGTTAAGTGGGTTTATTTCGAGAATGAATTGAACTGAAATAAGATGCGTGATAAGAATACATACACACACATGGAACAAATGCCCGATTCTCATTTACCTACTGAATTTCATATATCTGACTGTATAGTTCTGAGAATCCAGCATACTTGTAATCACTGTTTTTGTAGATTTCTTCTTTTTCTTAAAAAAATGAAGCAAAAATTTTAAAATGTCATTTCCCAGATCATAAGACTTCTCTACCGACAGACAGATCGTTATACCGGGCACCAAAACAACATGGACGAACCAAGCAAAAAGATAGCACTGGGAAAATCTAGCACCTTGACTTTTGTGACCCCCCATGCTGTGAACTTCCTGACTGCTACATACAACTCATATGGCACCGTTACAGAAACCAAGTTCTGTAGACAGAATTTTCTAGAGTCCGCATTGACAAGTGCAGCAAGCAAAGTCAATTTACATGTTTTAAAATTTATTTTATCTCTTTAAAAATTTCAAAACCGGCAAAGGGAAATATTTTCACCATTTTTTTCTTTTTCTTCCTTTAATTCCTTCCTTTTTTTTCTTTTGCTAAAGACAATAGAAATTGTAAAATTAACCCTTTAAAGGGAAAGAAGGTAATAGGAGGAATATGTATGAAGCACAACCACACAACTTTGACTTCCACGGTTAAATAAATAGGAATCTCTGCTGTCAGATGTAGGAAGCTAAACATGATCATGTAAACCCTGCTCTGGATTTTACTTGCGTGCTGTATTTAGTCAGCTTCTTTCATAGGAAGGATGCAACAGCATTAAAAACATTGACAAATAAAATCAAAATGTCTTGTCCCCATTTCTTCAGAACCCTAAGGAGTTCTCTAATGCCAATGTGTTACAGGAATGACGCATGGCTGCTTCTGCACTTCCTTATTCTTTATCTTAGTCAATGCAAAGAGAATAACCAACATCATCGAATGCATTTGTCAAGAAAGCAAAGTGTTAGCATTTAATGGTGTCGTTTTGATGGAAGAAAGGTTCTGCTGAGAAATTGAACTGTGTTTGTGAGGTGGGTGGACTTAGTCAGGAACGGTGAGGCTGACATGGTGTTAAAGATCTAAGACTTCAAGATGGTTTGAGTTAAATGAAAGGAAGTCATCTTATTTTGATCAGGAATAGCTCTGCTGCACTCAGCTCCCACACCTTTCGGTCACAGAGGGAGAGTGGAAGAACCTGTTTGTTCCCATTGGTTTCCATGGATACCAGAGGAGATCAAGACAGATTTCCAGAAGCTGCCTGTGTTTTCTTTTTCTTTCCTTCCTCCCTTTTCCTTCCTCCCCCCTTCCTTCCATTCTTTCCTCCCCCTCCCTCCCTCCCACCCCTTCCTCTTCCTCTCTGTCACTTTCTTTCTTTTTCACACCCTTCCTTTCTTTTCCCTATGTCTTTTCTTTCCTTTTGTCTACAAGTGGTACTAAGATATTTCTTCAAATGAATGTTTAAACCGGCCTTCGCTGTAAGAAAATGCAAAGGTGAAAAGAAGGGAGAAAATTGAGATTATCCTCTGAGTAGGGGTTGGGAGGAGTGAGGTCCCTCCAAATTTATATATTTATTCATTCATTCATTCATTGATTCCTCCAGCGCCATGTCTCCAGTGCCTTCCAATGGTCAGAAAACGTGATCTAAATAGCAATTGTTCTCTGATCATTGACATCGGTGGTCCTGGAAACTCCATGCTCTTTTTAGGGAGCAGCCTCTGAGGTCTTGTCAGAGTGGATCAGTGTGCACAGAAAGGGACTTCAGCAATTCTCCACAAACAATTCATCGTGATAGCAGAAAATCTCAATGTAGAGGAAATAATAAGTTGATATTGTTGTTTCTATAGCTAACAAAGCCAACAAGGATTTTTAGGAAAGATTGAACATTCAATTCAGCACAATTTAGCCATATTTAATGTGGCAATAATTAGAAAAACATTAAAAGAGAAACTTTCTAAATAGGTTATACACATGAGTATCCTATCTCCCAGGGTTTGGGGATTAAGGAGTAAATATTAAATTAGCACATAATAATCTGTTTATCTTAATGAATGATTATGGTAAATAAGCATTTGTATAGCTAACAATAATTTAAGAATTTTATATTTTAATTCTATAAAGAGGCATACATTTTTTAAAAAATACAAAATCACCTTCAAAGAAATAGCAATTGAAATTTTACTTTTTCTCTAAGCCAGCAGATGGAGATGTTGGAGAAAAGATTGTTCTCCACAGACCTGCTGCACACACACACTGAATACCTTCCAAGACCCCAGAGATGAATCTGTTTAGAGAAACAGAAAAAGATGTAAACAAAATAGAATTGGGAATAATTAACTAAAATACTGTGTTCAGAAACAGCATTCACTGCCTGCTTTAAGAAATAGATTGCTTTGGAGTTTATTTTTTAAAAAGAAAATTTTGTATATTTTTGTAAAGTTGATTCACAAAAACACTTAGAAATTGCTTAAATTAGAAAATCTCCTAAAAGAAAGAACTCTAAAATTATTTTACGTGTACCTACGCACATGTGTGAATGCATGCACATACGTGTGTGTGTGTGTGTGTGTGTGTGAGAGAGAGAGAGAGAGAGAGAGAGAGAGAGAGAGAGAGAGAGAGAGAGATT